CCTCCCCGCCGTGAAGCCACCGCCTCCCCACGAGGCTTTGGGGGGCCCTGAGTGGCAGAACTGACGATACTGGGGGGGGTCTCCAGGTCCGCAGGGCTCCAGGGGACCCTCCGGAGCCCAATTTGGGGAGACAGACAGGGGGTTCAGAGCTGGAGCGGGGTGTCCGGGGCTGAATTCGGGGGGTCCCCGAGGTGACTCGTGTCCCCACGGGTGGGTGACGAGGCCGGAGCGCTGGCGGTGGCTCCTCAGGATCCCCACGGTGACAAGAAGAGTTACAGGAATCCCCGATATCCACGTTTTGGGGTCCTTTGGGGTTCCTGGTGGTGGATTCGGTGACACCTGGTGCCCGTTTCGGTGTCCCCAAGGGCTTCTTGTGTCCCCATCAGTGGGTGACAAGGCCAGAGCACTGGCAGTGTCTCCCCAGGATCCATGGAATGATGGGGAGAGTTAGGAGGATTCCCGACGTCCACATTTTGGGGTCATTTGGGGTTTCTGGCAGCGGATTCAGCGACACCTGGCACCCATTTCGATGTCCCCAAGGGCTTCTTGTGTCCCCACCGGTGGGTGACAAGGCCAGAGCGCTGGCGGTGGCTCCCCAAGATCCCCACGGTGACAAGAAGAGTTACAGGGATCCCTGATATCCGCATTTTGGGGTCCTTTGGGGTTCCTGGCAGCAGATTCGGTGACACCAGGCACCCATTTTGGTGTCCCCAAGGGCTTCTTGTGTCCCCACCGGTGGGTGACAAGGCCAGAGCGCTGGCGGTGGCTCCCCAAGATCCCCACGGTGACAAGAAGAGTTACAGGGATCCCTGATATCCGCATTTTGGGGTCCTTTGGGGTTCCTGGCAGCAGATTCGGTGACACCAGGCACCCATTTTGGTGTCCCCAAGGGCTTCTTGTGTCCCCACCGGTGGGTGACAAGGCCAGAGCGCTGGCGGTGGCTCCCCAAGATCCCCACGGTGACAAGAAGAGTTACAGGGATCCCTGATATCCGCATTTTGGGGTCCTTTGGGGTTCCTGGCAGCAGATTCAGTGACACCCGCCACCCATTTTGGTGTCCCCGAGGGCTACTTGTGTCCCCACAGGTGGGTGACGAGGCCGGAGTGCTGGTGCTGGCTGCTCGAGGTCCCCATGGTGACCAGGAGAGTGAAGAGGATTCCTGATATCCACATTTTGGGGTCCTTTGGGGCTCCTGGCGGTGGATTCGGTGACACCCAGTCACCGCAGTGGTGGCCCTGTGGCGTCGGCGGGGACATGGGGACGCCGTGCTGGTGGCAGACGGCGTGGCGGGAGGGTGGAGGGACATGGGGGGCACAGAGAAGGACACAGGGATGTTGGGGGACACATGGAGGGACATGGGGGGCACAGAGAAGGACACAGGGATGTTGGGGGACACATGGAGGGACATGGGGGGCACAGAGAAGGACACAGGGATGTTGGGGGACACATGGAGGGACATGGGGGGCACAGAGAAGGACACAGGGATGTTGGGGGACACATGGAGGGACATGGGGGGCACAGAGAAGGACACAGGGATGTTGGGGGACACATGGAGGGACATGGGGGGCACAGAGAAGGACACAGGGATGTTGGGGGACACATGGAGGGACATGGGGGGCACAGAGAAGGACACAGGGATGTTGGGGGACACATGGAGGGACATGGGGGGCACAGAGAAGGACACAGGGATGTTGGGGGACACATGGAGGGACATGGGGGGCACAGAGAAGGACACAGGGATGTTGGGGGACACATGGAGGGACATGGGGGGCACAGAGAAGGACACAGGGATGTTGGGGGACACATGGAGGGACATGGGGGGCACAGAGAAGGACACAGGGATGTTGGGGGACACATGGAGGGACATGGGGGGCACAGAGAAGGACACAGGGATGTTGGGGGACACATGGAGGGACATGGGGGGCACAGAGAAGGACACAGGGATGTTGGGGGACACATGGAGGGACATGGGGGGCACAGAGAAGGACACAGGGATGTTGGGGGACACATGGAGGGACATGGGGGGCACAGAGAAGGACACAGGGATGTTGGGGGACACATGGAGGGACATGGGGGGCACAGAGAAGGACACAGGGATGTTGGGGGACACATGGAGGGACATGGGGGGCACAGAGAAGGACACAGGGATGTTGGGGGACACATGGAGGGACATGGGGGGCACAGAGAAGGACACAGGGATGTTGGGGGACACATGGAGGGACATGGGGGGCACAGAGAAGGACACAGGGATGTTGGGGGACACATGGAGGGACATGGGGGGCACAGAGAAGGACACAGGGATGTTGGGGGACACATGGAGGGACATGGGGGGCACAGAGAAGGACACAGGGATGTTGGGGGACACATGGAGGGACATGGGGGGCACAGAGAAGGACACAGGGATGTTGGGGGACACATGGAGGGACATGGGGGGCACAGAGAAGGACACAGGGATGTTGGGGGACACATGGAGGGACATGGGGGGCACAGAGAAGGACACAGGGATGTTGGGGGACACATGGAGGGACATGGGGGGCACAGAGAAGGACACAGGGATGTTGGGGGACACATGGAGGGACATGGGGGGCACAGAGAAGGACACAGGGATGTTGGGGGACACATGGAGGGACATGGGGGGCACAGAGAAGGACACAGGGATGTTGGGGGACACATGGAGGGACATGGGGGGCACAGAGAAGGACACAGGGATGTTGGGGGACACATGGAGGGACATGGGGGGCACAGAGAAGGACACAGGGATGTTGGGGGACACATGGAGGGACATGGGGGGCACAGAGAAGGACACAGGGATGTTGGGGGACACATGGAGCAACATGGGGGACACACGGAAGGACATGTGAAGGGACATGGGGATGTTGGGGACATAGGGGACACATGGACACAGGGACATTGGGGAACACACAGAGGCATCTGAGGGATGTGGAGGGACATGGGGGACACGCGGAGGGACGTGGGCACATGGGGGACATGTGGAGGGACACAGGGGACACATGGAGGGACACAGGGGACACATGGAGGGACACGGGGACGGGAGTCCACACGGAAGGACATGGGGGACACACAGATGTGGGGGACATGCGGAGGGACATGGGGGACACATGGAGGGACATGAGGACATGGGGGACACACGGAGGGACATGGGGATGTGGGGGACACATGGAGGGACACGGGGGACACGTGGAGGGACACGAGGACATGGGGGACACATGGAGGGACATCGGGGACATGTGGAGGGACACAAGCACATGGAGGACACACGGAGGGACATAGGGGTTGGGGACATGTGGAGGGATGTGGGGGACACGTGGAGGGACACGAGGACATGGGGGACAGATGGAGGGACATGGGGGACACGTGGAGGGACACGAGGACATGGGGGACACATGGAGAGACATGGGGGATGTGGGGGACACGTGGAGGCGTATGGAGGACACATGGACGCCGGGATGGGAGGAGACTCAGAGGGACATGGGGGACACATGGACATGGGGGACGGATGGAGGGACACAGGGATGTTGGGGGACATGTGGGACACACGGAGGGACATGGGGGACACATGGAGAGATATGGGGGACACACAGAGGTACACGGGGATGTGGGGGACACATGGAGGGACATGAGGACATGGAGGACACATGGAGGGACATAGGGGGTGTGGGGGACATGTAGATGGACATGGGGAACACGTGGAGGGACACAAGGACATGGAGGACACACGGAGAGACACGGGTTGTGGGGGACGTGGAGGGACATGGGGGACACACAGAGAGACCCAGGGGTTGTGGGGGACATGTGGAGGGATGTGGGGGACACGTGGAGGGACACGAGGACATGGGGGACAGATGGAGGGACATGGGGGACACGTGGAGGGACACGAGGACATGGGGGACACATGGAGAGACATGGGGGATGTGGGGGACACGTGGAGGCGTATGGAGGACACATGGACGCCGGGATGGGAGGAGACTCAGAGGGACATGGGGGACACATGGACATGGGGGACGGATGGAGGGACACAGGGATGTTGGGGGACATGTGGGACACACGGAGGGACACGG